TTTGGCCTTCCGATGCGGCAGCTCAGCCGAGCTTCACCATTCTTTCCTTGTGGGTTGCGATTGTTTTAGGTTATTCTGCATCAAAAATGTATTAGGCGGATAAAGGACAGAGAAACGAGAAGAACAGGAAGAAAAATCACACTCATTAGTGCGTTTTGGGTCTCCGGTGCAGCGGTGCCAACGTCCTCTGATGGTTGGGCTTCTCCTCAAGCTGCCCTTCTTCTTCTTCTTCGGCGAGGTGCGTTTGGCTAGGGTTAGGGTTTCAGTTGGAATAGACGCTTAAATACCCCCTCCCTCGATCTGTGCTGTCCATCCGAGTCTGCGTGGATTCTCCTCAACCGTTCGATCGCGTTTATTAAGGAAACAAATATTGACCGTTCGATCGAAGACACGTGGGCCGTCTAATCGAGCTTATATAGGAAATCACACCAGACTTTTCATGCGTGCAAGAGTGGGATCGCCCGAGCACGCAGATCGCCTGCATGGCTCCCGCGTGGAGCCCGTGCCAGCATGTCCGCCACACAGTGCGTTCTGACTCGTCGTGCTACTAATTTGGCCATCCTATGTGGCTTGCACTTCCCCTTTTTGCGATATGATCATTGTTTTCAAACTTTTCTTTCAAATATATTCTCATTTTATTTACAGTTATGACATGCTTTTTAAAATTATTTTTAAATTCATCCAAAATTTCTATATCTAAAAAAAACACAATTAAAATTATACTCTATCATTTTTATTATTATTTTAGAGATTCAATTATATTATTTCGAGTTTAAACCTCAAGTTTGAGATGTTACAAAAATAGCAAAATATTAATTTTTTTTTTTTAAAGCTAACATGAGAGCACCTCTACGTTTATCTATTTAAAATAAATTTAAATTTTTCTGAAAATATTTGCAACTTGATATTTATAAGTTCAATTAGAGGAGAATATGAATTATATTAACATAATAAAATAGTTTTAGGAAATAATTAGTTGTTTCTAAACATAATTATATTATCAACAGCAATAAAAGGTGAAATGCATTGCTCCCTTTTTAAGGGCAGAACTTTTTCACCGTGAATATGTAAAAGCCTTGTTTTGGTGTGAATCACTTTAAAATAATGTTTAACATATGTAATTGAAGTATATGGAAATACATATATATAAATAATATATATGTAGTAAATTGTGAAACACCAAATTAGAGAAAAAGAAGGACTACTAAAACTAACAAATCTTTTTACTGAAACTGGCATTTACCTATTAAAATATTTAAAATTAATTTTTTTTTGAAAAAAAAAAAAAGTTATAGAGTTATACTTCCTATAATTTGAAAGTGATAAATATATATATATATATGTATGTATGTATGTATAAGGAATATTGAGAATTGATACATGTCAATTTCTCTTTTTTTAAAATAGTTTTATATTTAATATGATAATCAATACAAATTATATATTTATTTTTATAATATAAAATAATTTTAAATTTGTTAAAATAATATGCAATAGTTTATCTATTTATTAATATGATAATATATAATAATTATCCATTTAAATATTTTAAATATAAAGATAGAATTTGAGTATATTATATTTCTATATGATTTATTTTTATTTAGTTACAAACTCTAAAATTATAAATTATGTAAACCATTGATTACATATTTTTTTCTCTCATTTCATTCATTTTGCAAAAAGCTAAAGTACTTTTTTTTACATTTTTATTAAAAATTTCTTGCATATAATTTTGTTTACATAAAATAATATTTACATTATGTTTTATATATAAGTATAAAAATTTATATTCTATACATGATATAGGTTAAGAATCTAATTTATTATAAAAAGAAAAAAAATGATTACCAATACCTGCGAAATTTAGACAGTATATGTAACATCCCAATAAAAAAATAAAAAAAATAAAAAAAGAGGAAGGAAAATAGGATCAAACTGGGAATATTTTTAAAGAAGGGAAGGATGTTAAAAAGAGAAGGAAAGTTAGGAATTTAAAAAGAAACAAGGGAACCGATGGCTCAGATTCGTCCTGGAGATCGGACGGTTCTGGAACACCGTATTTAAGTTTCCTTCCCTCTACCCCATTCGGGCAGAAGAAACCCTAGAGGAAAATAGGGGTGAAGCGAGGGGAAACAGAGACCGTGAGAGGGGGGAAGAAGAGAGACGGCGGTGAAGGAAGAGGAAGAAGAAGAAGACGAAGATTGGCGCGCACCGCAGAGGAGGGCCAAATTTGCAGCGCAACTGAAAAACATCGTGTGGTATGCCTTGTGTACGGGGTGGATAAAGAGAGAGGAGAAGTAAGATTCGAGCGACCGAGGAAGAGGTTGTGCGGCAAGAGGCCAGAAGCAGAAAGTCACTTAAGCGTATGAGCTCCGACGCGAAGAGAGGTAAGCTTCTCGATAAGTTCCCTCATTTGCTCGTTCATAAATCCCAAAAGCTAAAACAAAATCACCCTTTCCAATTTGGTATTTATGACGAGCATGTTCTGGTATATGTAATTGCAGATTAGGAGAAGAGAGATCGTCACCAGAATCATATCATCCCTGCACTGCTAGTAAGTCCATCTGCTC